AGTAGCGGCGAAAGCCGCGCGTGACTACAGCCGGTGTTACGGCTACAGGTGCCTGACATAAGCGTCTACAGACAAGGTAGTATGAACGTGTCTGCGGATCGTGCGTCAGGTGAGTCTAAATCCAGAAAGAAAATGCACTTAAGGGGCATGCTCACGACGCACCACAGTTGGTCGCAGTTACACTAGCTGGCCAGGCGAGTTAAACATATGAACAAGAAGGTAACAGCTATGAATGCTAGCCCTAAGTGCAACGATTGAGCCAAGTTACTACGGACAAGAAGTATCTGTGAAGCACGGTTGGCGCGCTAAGCGCAATATCTCGTCGAACGACGATACAACTCAAAAATACGACGATGCCAACATAGATGGTAAGGAAGTACTTCACTAGCCGAAGATCTAATCAATTAAACTTGGCATGAAATCAAAGTGCAGATGGAGCGCACAACGGGAACAAAGGCGCGATACTCTAAAGGTACTCACGCGCGAAAGGAAGCCTGTAGATGGAATAGGCGATGAGGAGAAAGTCTACACGCGCCAACAGAAAGTAGTATACTACCAAGGGCGCGTTTACAGGATGTACATAACAAATACCAGAATTGACGCGCAGTACAAGGGATATCCGAAAATGCGCGAATCATACTGACGCACATACAATGTACTGAACGCGCATAAGGAAAAACCGAGTTTGAGTCAAAGCCGAGTAAATGACAGTCTTGCAGGTAGCTAAGAATGAAACAAAAAAAAATTACAACTACGCGGAGCACTTACAGGAACAACTGCAGGGATACAGGATGGCACAAAGGGAAATGCGCGTACAGAAAGTTACTGCAATGAGCATAAGGATGGTGATAAGCTCACGGCTCGCGAAGTTGCAAGAAAAACAAAAATACTGACTTGGCTGGGGACACAGGCTGCAATGCGGTAGGCAATAGCAACTGTAACGATGGAACAAGTTCGCTATACACCAAAGATAGAATACTTAGCGAGTAGTACAGAATCTACTGACCTAACCGACGCTCTAAAGCCAAAGGAGACGAAGTTTGCGCGAAATGAGCAGTTGGGTCGCGCGTTTGCCAAAATTACAAAAAAACAAAAGCGGCTATGGTTGCTTACTGCTCGCGAAACAATAAACAAACACAGGGAACGAGGGAAAAAGCGCCAGAGATCTGATGGTCGATCAATATGCACAAGAAGGTGGGGTACACGCCGCCTAGAGTGCGCGCTCAACAACAATCGTTTCAGGACCCAACTGAAGAAAAAGTGGGAAAAACGGGACAAAAATTACAGAAAGAAAGGCATTCCGCCGCAAAAACACAACATCTGGCCTGATAGTAAAAACAGAGCGTAAAGCTCGACAACGGCCTGGTACCAGACAAATCAGAACAAAAAAGGAAGGAAAACAAAGGCTCGGTACCTAGATGGTAAACGGTAAGAAATTCTGCCTATTTCCGATGGCTCTCTCTGTCATACTATCCGTCGTGTGACCAACGACATCGAAGATGGACCATGCCTGAACGAAGCGCGGCGCGCTAGGGCAACACTCACACCCATCGGTAACCTAAAGAGAATACATGTAATTATAAATAGAAAAATCACAGAGCACGCTCCCTACTACCCATGCCAACGAATCGCCCTACTAGACCCTTCCAACTTACCCAACCTACTCCACCACAGAAGGAAAACATAAAAGAAGTGTAGTACGTGACCGTGGGGTAACCAAAGGACGTAAGGCAAACAGAGCATGAATAACGACAGAGTGTCACTGAAGAGCCTGCGCGGCAGTAAGTGGCGCGCGTATAACAAGGTACGGGAAAGGTTATCCTGTCGGAGGCCGGTCTGGAAACTGCTCAGGGCTCCTGTCGGCGAACGGAGAGGCCATCACTGATGACCCGTGGGCACTTGGACCATATCCTGCTTAAAACCGTGCTTCGTGCCAATTGCCGTCTTTCGTCGTCGTCCTGCTGATGGTACCTTCCAACATCTTGCTCGGCAATTCCTATCCTTCTAGCACGGCTGCTCTCCGCTTTGTACTAGGGGTGGTGGGCGAACTAAAGGGGCATAGCCTCAAGGGCCCAAGTGCGCTTATTGCACCAAAGAGGCTAACCTTACGGCCCCATGTAGCACTACGCCGGGGATAGAGGTCACTACGGGTCACAATTGGGCCAATCTTGTACTACGGACTAAAATACTAAGCTAAACTACGGACTACAGGAGGTTAGACTACGGGGACAAAACTAATACCGGTTGTAGGGAAACTAAACTACAGTAGAGCGAAAAAAAGAAGTGGTGTGAAAGAAAAACTAACAGGATACGGATCAAAGGACCCCTAGTACCAATCCAAACCCATACCCAGCCCCAAACTCAAACCTACCTAGAAAACAGAAAAATACTAAAGCCATAGAACACAAAATACTAACTATAAAACCCCAGCTTACATAAAAGAACCCGAATCCCGTCTCCCCGGCTATGGTCCAAGCTCCTATATGTGTATATAGGACGGTGTCGACCCCCAGCTGCGATTCTTCGCGCGTCTTGATACAGCTCCACCTTCGCGCGTCCACCGATACAGCTCTACGCAGCTCCATACCCCTCTCTAGTCGATCCTCCTGTCCATCGCTCGTCCCTCGCCTTCGAACTAGTGCGTGCAACGATACAGTACTGAAACGCGTTCGACGATACAACACTATGTACACGTACGACGATACGATACTGAAGCGTGTTCAACGATACAATACTACATACGCGTGCAACGATACAGCTCTAGATCGCGCTCCTTGACTTCCATCCGTCTGCCTTCCAACTGTCCATCTCCATGCCATCTTCCCACTCGAACAACAATCCAACGTCGAAAGCGCGTACTCCGATACAGCTCTCTCGCGTCCTCCGATACAATCCTGAAATGCGCGTACAACGATACAACTCTTCTTCGCGCCTCTGCGATCTGGTCTTCTGCGCGCAGCGTGCTCAACGATACAACACTAAATGCACGTACAACGATACAACTCAGGCGCGCTCGCGATCGTCCTATCCTCCGTCTCATCTTCATCCTCCTTCCGTCGGCATCCATCTTCCATCGATCGTACTCCGTCAAGGCTTCCATCTATCAACTCTTCCTATCCTGCTTCCCCCAATCCTTCGTCCAAATCCCGAAGACTCGACTTGTGCGGCCGCTGGTACTCTCCGGTACCCCCTATCGAGCCCGCCGACTACGACACCGGCCCTCCACCTGGGCAGTACTTTCCAAGCGCGACAGGCTTACCAGGTATCGCATGACGTGGTCGCTCGGCCGATTGGGGTTCTAGTTGGCAAGTTGCCACAGTCTTCCCGACTATCCCCCCGCGCTGACACGCCATGCTTTGCACCCTGGCTACCTTCCGGCACTCTTGCTACTGGCTACGTAGGTATTCAACTCTGCCTCTCTGTTTGCCAGGAATTCCTACTGGGGCGCTGAGCGTGGTAGCTTCGGGCTCGTTACGCACGCATGATGGATGGGATAGCGCGTTCCTTCGACAACACAACAACGACGCAACACACCGATGGCACACAATCTGCTCCAACTTGCGCGACTAACCCATCCGCGGGCGGCGACGCCATCCACCATGCGCTCGGCATCGATGCACCATGTTGCGGCTCGGTGGGCTCTGCGCCCCCTCACCTAGTGCTCGACTGCCTTGCGTCCAGCTCCTGTCCCCGAAGGACTTCCGCAGCTGCGGGTGGGCCCAGCCCACAACGGCGCGTTACGCCTACACGAACGCGAAACAAATAACATACATAAAATTTACTAAATAAATATGCACGACAAAAATATACGATATAAACAAATGTAGATATACATACCACGGGGAGAGTTAAGCTATACCCCGGGCTACCGATGGGGACTCTGGCTTACTCACACTCACACACTAACACACTCTCACTCTCTCCCGGCATCCAAGGGAGCTACCCACAGGCCGGCCGCGCGCCGCCAAGGCAGCAGCTACGGCACGGCAACACCGACCCCGTGATGTTAACCAACAGCATCGAACCAAGCTCCCAACGAATCCTGCGCGGCCAAGGCGCTTCGTGATGTTCATCTTCCTGGAATTCTATCCTCGCGCATACATCCAAACAATCCATCAACGATCCATCCAATCGCGCGAGGCACGGGGACGTAGACACGACGACGATATCGTGGAAACCCAACCAATCAATAATAAAGGCGGCACGACGATAATAGTAAGATGATAAGACGAGAGAGGCCGCACTGGCGCGCGTACGCGCTATTTATAGCGGTGGCTGGGGGCGTGCCTACATGGTGTGGTCTCGGAGCGAACAAGGTAGCCACCGTAAAGCGCGGCGACCGTGCTCACGACCGAGACGCGCGGCAACACGGTGCTCCCGGCCACATGCTGTGAGGAGCGGTCGATCGCGAGCCGCGACACCAAGGAAAAAACTTGAGAAAATTAAGCGTGGTTTCCTTGCAAACCCATCATTGTGCTTTGGGAAAATTAGCAGAATAGTCTTTGTAACTTACATCGTATACGTCACAAACTAAATTTGCGTTGCTTCAACGCTGATCGCTGATATCCTCCATTTTGCACAGATGACATGGTTGTTGAGATGCATAACATTGACTGAAAAGACTCAGGCTCAATCAAATTGCAAATCAACCAATTTTTCGTGAAGCTGAATCCTGCGTGTCGCAAGTCGCTACACATTACCTGATGTTAGCTCATATTTCTTGCCCAAGTCGGTTTATGGAAGCAAAGATTAACTGTCATGTGTTAAAAATAAAATAGATATATACATCGAATTTGACTATTTTCTTCATTTGTGAACTAACACGTCTATACGATAATGCAAAATCAGCGTTCCGGTGATGTTCACTTACCTCATTATCATTGTTTGACGTTTGCTTGCAATAACAACGATATTATCAACGCTTGTGTTAATTTCTAAGCTTCCTTGTTGGGATGTGAAAGAACGTGCTTTTCTTCGTCTATCTCAGCCACGGTAGTAACATGGAATCCCAGGTTTCAGTGGCGTTTCAAATATTTTATACTGTCGTGCCGTTGATTAGCATTATTGGAAATTCCTGCATAGTGTATGTGACTATTCGATCCAGGTAAATAATTTAAAATATTCGCTTTTCTTCATACTCGAGTCTCAATGAAACTCAGTAAGCTGGAAAGAAGGGTGTGCACTTTTTCATTATTGGAACCCAATTTTATCAAAGATTTTCGCGAAATACAGCTCTAGTCCAGAAGAAGATTACCAAGATCTTTGAGGACGATTCACCAGCAATGTGTAAGCAAAAAATAAACGCGTTTTTAAATTTCGTTTTGCATCTAGGATGACTCGAAAACTGTTCAGCTGTTAAAAAAAAGCAAAACCCAAAACGTTTGTTGGAGTGTTTTGATTGCATTTAGCAGTGACCCAAAAACGGAAGATGTATAAAGCTCTGTAAAGAGGTCTTTCGAACTAGCAAACAACGATGTTGTTTTTAGCAATGTGTACCAGTGACTAAATTATCCAAGGTATTGCTAGATCACATACGAACTTCATTTGCAATGATACTTGACCAGTATGGAACAATTTCTAAAATTTCTTTATAACCGCCGTGAATATAGCTCACAGTCTATCGCTATACGCAATTTCAACTTGCCACCATTTGCATTCTGTAGTGAATGGTTTATACATAAATGATAGGTTGAGTTCGTTCGTACCATCTTCGAATTTGCCACTCCCTTCTAACTCAGTGTTTTGGTATGCATTTATTGAGTCGTGCACTCGCTGGAGTTTTAAAAGCTCTTTGTGCACAGATTGCTTGGATAGAATTTGAAAGAGAGATCGGAGATTTTTTATGATTTTGAAAAGCTTTTAAGAGATGTAAAAAGACCGAATAAAATCAAAAACTACTATTATAAGTTTTGTGACCTTCATTTTAGTTGAGCAAAGTTTGTGCGGATCAAGCATCTCTATGAAAGATTTGATTTTCAAGGAAAATGCAAAAAAGGAGTATAGTGACTTTGCCATTTTCTTTTCTCTCAAGAATTCTTCTCAAAGAAACGGTCGATCAGCACCACCCGTCGTCGAAGAGTAAGAATCGCGGCCCCATAGCTTCTTAGAATTGTGACCATATGGCTGGCACAAGCTATCATTTACGTTGGCGGATGCCTTACTCAGTTGCACAAGTCAGCGTTTCGGACTTCATTTGTAAAGTTTCTAGGTTTTTCACAAGCTGCTTGAAACCACATTGGAACTCGACTATATTCCAACCTTCCATTTTACCGATTCACCGCCTTAGGCCTCAGGCAGAGTTCACGCGATTTCATCGTCGCGATTCATCGTTACAGGACAAGTGTTACGAGTTCATTGCATGCCAATGTTCTTGTATTTCGGTTGTGATAGTTAGTCACGATTAGTCGTGTTGGAAAACTATATCACAACCAAAATGCTAAAAAATCAGCATGCAATGATATTGTTACAATTGTTTTGTCGCGACCAATCACGAGGATGAAATTGCGGGAACCCTGCCCGAGGCCTCAAATGCGTATATGCGTCCAAACCTTTGCAATACCTCTTTGCCTCTCTTTCCCTAAAACGATTTCAAGCATGAGATTTGCCATGTTCTGCCAGATCCCCATATACGCAACCGTGTTTCAATTTTGTCTTGAAAAATGGCCCACAGTCTTACACAGGGCATTTGAAAAATTGTGACGATGGCACGACCGCGCGCGACACGCACGCCACTTCCGGAAATCGCATTTTCTTGATTTTCATCTCTAGTTGAGTGTTTTTTTTTGCTTGCGTATGGTGATATTCAAAAGGTGATGCCTTCTTGTAAGAGCGTTTTATGCTTCTGTGGGAGCAAAGTCCACAGTAAAATCCGTCGTCACGGTTTTATAAATGAACTATACTTAAAGGCAGTGTGCGGGCAAAAACTCGATTCTGAGATTCTATGCTTACCCGGGCCTATTCGCCATGCCGAATCCGAAAATCCACACTGGAGAGCGCGAAAACGGCGAAAAAGGCTTCTAACGCGGGATGAAAATCAGCAGGTGGGCGAAGTGTTCCCCACTGTGGATATACGCCCCCAGCTTCCGGAGCGATCTCCTCGATTCCGCTAGCCGCCCTGACATCTCCATCGGCCAAGTGGAAACACGTGACTCGAAATCGGAACCGAGAAGGTCGCTCCAGAAGCTGGGAGTGTGAATCCACAGTGAGGAGGACCCCGCCCACCTGCTAATTTCCTCCTGCGTTAGGGCTCTTTTTCGCCGTTTCTGCTCTCTCCAATATGGATTTTTGGATTAAGCTAACGAGTAGTACTGGATAAGCACAATATCTTAAAATTGACTTTTTGACCAGACACTGCCCTTAAAGGCAGTGTCCGGGCAAAAACTCGATCTTGAGATTTTGTGCTTACCCGGACCTATTCGCTACGCTGAATCCGAAAATGCACATTGGAGAACGCGAAAACGGCGAAAAACGGCTCTTACGCAGGAGGGAAATCAGCAGGTGGGCGAGGCCCTCCTCACTGCGAATTCGCGATCCCAGCTTCCGGAGCCATCTTTTCGCTCCCAGTTTCAAGTAAATCATTCGCACCTGCCCGGTAGCGATGTTAGGACGGTTAGCGGAATCGAAAAGACCGCTCCAGAAGCTGGGAGCGTAAACTCACAGTGGGGAGGGCCCCGCCCACTTGCTCTATCCCTCCGAAAATCACACTGGAAAGCGCGAAAACGGCGAAGAAGGGCTCTAACGCAGGAGGGAAATCAAAAGTGGGCGGGGTCTTTCCCAGGGTGAATTCACGGTCCCAGCTCCCGGAGCGATCTTTTCGCTTCCGACTTCAGATCATGCATTCGCACTTGGTCCGTTGAGATGTCAGGGCGGTTAGTGGAATAAAAGATCGCTCCGAAAGTTGGGACCATGAATTCAACCTTGGGGAAGACCCAGCCCACTTTTGATTTCACTCCTGCGTTAGAGCACTTTTTCGCCGTTTTCGCGCTTTCCAATGTGGATATTCGGATTTAGCATAGGCCCAGGTAAGCACAAAATCTCAGAATCGACTTTTTGCCCGGACACTGCCTTTAAGCTTATCGAAGCTCAAATAGAAAACTGTAACCAAAATTCCATGGTCAGAGCTCGGTACGAGGTGCCCTAGCAATTCCAACGTACAAAGTCTTCCTTGACTTCAAAGCACTTCTACGACATGCCCTACGGGGTGCTCACAGTAGAGAGAAACATAAACCGATAGAACACCGAAAACCATTAAACTTAAAAGTTTGCTTTGGCGGCATATGTGTCAGTCACGCATCACCACGCGGATGGAGCAGCATTGCCGCAACCATTTACATAGAAACTTTAAGCGGCTGTAATTAAGCCGTGAGGGGGAGGGGGGGGGGGGGAGGTTGCGGGGATTGAAGAACGCATAGATAGGTAGGGGATGTGGAGTAGAATTATGTAAAAAGTTTCTAAAATTATTTGGAACGTACTAGGCTTTTATTTTAGGACACCGCTGTGTTAGAGTGCGCCGCCTACATGCCGGCGGCGTGCTTGCGGCTCTTCTCCGCCCCGAACTCGCAAAAACGGCATCTCCTTCGCTTGTAACCCCCAAAACGATATTCAGCCTGCTATTTGGGCCAGCTGCGCAGAGCCGTGTACATGCTGGAACATGTCCATGTATCGTATTGTTAGTCCTAATGTCCCTTCGACCAAAAGTGCTTCCTTGGTATTCCTTAGGAATTGATTCATAAGCTACGAATCTTACGGTAAGGTTTAGACGCTTTACAATCAGTATCTACGCGACGATATCTCTACATGACGTTGGACGACAAATTTGGAGATGAACCATTTAGTTTATTCGTCAAAGGTTCACAAAGTTAACATGCAGACACCCACAAAAGTCTCGAACTCAAACTTTTGTGAATGTCGTGGGTCTAGTGTGTTACAAATATCTCGGTTCTCAAGAGTAAAGGATCTACAAAAGGATTTATTGCCACACGTTGCATCAATAACCGAAAAAGTTCTTTGCTTGAGGTAATTTCATATTTATGAAGAGCCAACAGTTTTGCGCAACCATATCAGATTCGGCACTGTCAACTTTTTTGCTAGTCGTCAATCGGAGAATTACGAAGTACTGAATGCCAGGCAAAAGGAGCTTAATTGTATAAAAAAATCTTTAGATTTGTCGCGGTTCTCAAGTCTTGAGAGGCCGTAGTGACTGACTTTATTTCGGCCATTAATTCATTTCTGACTGCAAAAATTACTTAGAACTTGTTTTCCATAAGAACTCTGCAGATAGGGAGAGTAGATTCGAAATCAGCCTCACAAGCTCTCATCAATGCTATACAGGTGAATGGCACTTTGACCTCGTGACCGTCGCTTGTTAGATTTCCACGTTTCTTTTGAAGTAGAAGGAATATTACAGTGTTCCTGAAACTGAAATTGGGCATCACTGAAACAAAGACATTAAGAGACGGCTTTTGATGAGCCATAAAAATACTTTCGTGATTACCATAGAAGGTTGTTCAAAAAATGCAGCATTTCTTCCAGGTAATGTATTTGTGTTTGAACGCCAATAGAAAGTAAAGCTCAGTTTCGAATTTAACAATATATTTTTCAGAAATCTTCGAAGTGCTTGCAACATCTTTATTGCGCTATTATGCGGAAGCGATGTTCTACACATGTTTTCTCATTATGTGATGCTCTCGGTGCAACATTTGTAAGTAATTGAGTTCCGACTTGCTTTTTTTACAAAAATCAATAATTAGGCTAAGAGCCTTCAAGCATGCAAACTCTTGCCTTTACTAATAGATATCAAAATTAAGAATCGTTTTAGCTCATCGAATCAACTGATACCTCGTTTTGTCTGCATTCGCTTGCAATTCATTCCTCTCTTTGGAGGAGCACTTTCTGGAATACTTATCTTTAGTGTTGCCGTTGATAGATTATTTTCATTATACGACTTTTAGTAAGTGTTTCCTTGCTTCCCAAAAGTTTTGCTTGAAAGCTTTTGTATCCGTCATTCAGCTATGTACTCACGAAGAGTCACAAACGTCTATACATTACTTTACAAGTGGGAACGGCCGTTACTTTCGCTACAGCTGCTATCATCTGCACATTTTTCTTGCAAAACTCAGAGTGAGGTTTCAATTTCGTCCATCGCTACAGCATATTGGTTGTGATGCTACGTGCCGTTCGAGCGCACAGTTCTGCATTTAGGCGGGTCACCACAAAATTCGCAGAGTGTGAATTACCTTCGACTTCCATTAGTTTTGTATCAGCTTAACAAACACTTCAAAAATGTTACATCAGCATTATGTGGTTGTCGGCATTGTTAATGTACGACAACATCGACATATTTTGCCTTAACTTCTAGGTCAGGTTGAAGCGACTTTCAGTGAACTTGCATTCGATTACGTGCTGAATTTACAATGTGAAGTACTTTACTTGAATCTCATAATAACAATACCGTTTGTAATTGGTGGAAAACCCGCAGCGGCTGAGGTTTGCTAAATTTCACGTCGCATAGCCCTCGCTATAAAACGAACTTATTTTTCCAAAGGTACTATTCAACTTGGCTTGACGAGGCGCATCCTTTTATGTATATTAATAGTGCAACAGTTTTGAAAGCTGGCGAAGCTCGCCAGTGAGGGTCGAAGTTACTCGGCGGAGAAAACGAGGCTTAAGTCTGCTGAGCTTTCGCGGTCACTGACGGTTTTTCCACGTATACGCCTACAAGAGTCTCCTATAGGAGCCTCTTGTAGGCGGCCCAGAGATGGGCGGAGTTTGCCTCGAGAAAAAAGCGCGGGTCAATGTTAATATTTTTCCATGACTAAACTGATTATATGAACACATATAAAAAAGAATGGGCAAGATGATTGAAAATCACACCGGTGGGCACCAATGCGAATCCGCGGGACAAAGTCGCGCGGCAATGCTTTCAAGGTGTTGAAAATCAAACATTTTTTTTTTGTTTTTATCACAAAGTCTAAGTGGACATCGAAGAAACATTTCAAAAGATCTAAACTGAGTGATAATCTTTTCTTTCTATCGAACAATTCTAGGTTTGAATGCAGTCTTTAACCAGAGTTTAAGGGGGGAGAATGTACTGTATATTGCCATCGTGCAAATCTAACCGAATTTTGCTCTAGAAAATCGATAAGCCGTAACATTTTTTTGAGTTTGACTACCAAATCTGGCCTAAAAATCCCCGAAAACGACATTCTTGTGTGTTAACCCCTTTTTTGTTACTCAGTTTTGGGCCAAAGAACAGTATTCATAAAAAATGTGTTTACTACAGGCCTATTACATACCAAGTTGCTCTTGCAAGAATTTTTCTGGACGGAGATCCAGAAAAAATCCTACAGGACCAACTTGATATTTAATAGACACACTTTGCTAGATGTTCTAAGAGGAGGCGTATTCAATGCTAGAAACTTCACTTCGACTTATTGCTTTACTTTGCTTGAGATCAAGCAAGCGATATATTTGAGCGCATTGATAATTAAATTCATTGAAGTTGCAAGACATCTTCCTACTCACTACAATTGAGTAATTTTAGTGAAGTCATTTGTGGCATAATGGATGCTATGCACGGTCAGTTCCAGACACTGTATTCGACTGCACTTTGCTTACTGAGTTTTTTCACTTTGGTCACGTACGTCATTTTTCTTGTGAAAGTGAGAAGGAAGTCGATAGGTGAGGTTTTGAATTTGTGTTGGATTTCATGGCTTCATAATATGGCGCTCAGATCTAAACATGAAAGGGATATACCGCTCCCTCATTGTGACTAGTTTTGCTATAGTGTTTTGCACACTCGCCGTTGGGTTCGGCCTTTTTGTCAGCGCCATCTCGCACACCTATAGTGACACTATGGGATTGATTGTTGGGATATCTATAAACATCTCTATCGCTGCTAATTTCTTTGTATACTATGTCATCAGGTAACTCATTCCCTATCGCACTGACAGTGTGAGTTAGTATTATATTTTCAGTGAGCAGTATCGAACAGCAATCAACAAGTATCTGTACATCAGCCTCTTGAAGTCCGCTTTAGGTCTATCTGGTACGAAAGCCAAAGCATCTGTCGTTACTGCGATCGCTAAATAAATGTTCCCAGAAGTTTTCTTTTCCTTTCAATAGCCTTTGTTGTTTTTACAACGATAGCCATGATAGGGTTTCTCAGCCTTTCATAAGCTACTAGATGGATACCTTGCCTTGAATTTGATGTCAACACAACATGATGGAACTCACCATATCGTCTCAATTCTGTACATTTCTTTGTCCCTATCCCGCGTCCAAACCTCAATTCCCTGCCCCACTGTTTGTTAGTAGACACCCTGCTCACTTACCCTCTGCACCAGTTCCCAGCGCCCCAGTTCGAAGTTTTGCAGAAAATCGATAAAATCGATATGGGTCCAAACACACAGTCGATAATTCTGCAGTTTATTGTAATCAGCAGGACCACTTACCCCCCCCCCCCCTCTGCCAATTCCCGGTAGGCGGAGTGTAGCTCGAACTTTGCGAGAATCGATAAAGCTGATATTGGTTGATAGCGAAAAGTGGTTTGGCAAAGTTTGATCCGAATCGATTTCAAAATGGAAGTACTATGCGGAACAAACGCACAGACACACAAGCAGGTACAGTCTTTTCCAACCCGGAGTAGGAGCGCGTCCGCACCGCCACTGGTTCAGCGAGTTCGATTAGAATGAAGAGACGCAGACTGCAAATCGTTGTGAATTGGACTACCGCCATCCAATTTCCGCCTACACTGAGTTGAAATTTACTATACACAGACAAAGAGAGTTTGACTTATATAAAGTTTTCTTCTGGTGAATAACATTTGGAGAAACCACGCAAAAGTTCTAACCATTCTTTAATGTTCAGCCGAATTTGAGTTTGCTTATCATTAGAAGAAGCAAGGGTAAAAATAACAGAGCTGCCATGACCACGTCTCTGATTTGTTATAATTATGTTGACTGTTAGTCCTATCGGCGTCCATTTTTGCTTTTTTGAATGTTTACATGTTGTAAGTCCTCTCATCTTTGAACCTTGGTATGTTCTTGAGGAAGAACTCGTACAGCATAATATGATAATTGAATGCTTACATTTCTAATCGTTGCATCAAGTTACCGTCTAAAGGATCCAAATGATATGTAAGTTGAGCAAATCGTGAGAATTTGGCAAGAGCCCTTAACTGCTTTTTTCTTGCTTACACTACGGCTATCATTAACGCTGCAAATATTCGTTAATTTTGAATGCTTGAATAAGCGTTCAGTACAGAATGGCGCTGCTGACAGTCATAGTAAACACTGTAAAAATATTGTCAAAGCCAGATTGCACATTTATTAAGATTAGAGAATTGTGAGAATTTTGGAACTATGAGTGTGTTGTATTCAAACTGAAATTCAAGCACTTATAATTTTTGAATGGACCTTATTCCTTTGGATGTTTTAGAAATTTTTATCCGAATAGTTTTTCAATCAAGCTTTGCGCTCTTCTGTGTCCCAAAGGCAGCTGTCCCTGCATGTCCCGTGTCCCGGCAAATTGATGGGTGCTGGGATTTTACAGCGTTGCAATGGCGGACCCCCCAAACTAACGTACAGTGGAGTTTGAAACGAAAAAGCGCCTCTGGGAAGCCTAAAATCTACCCCAGAAGTCTTCCGGACCCGCCCCTCGTTTCGGGCCCGCCCATCTACACATAATTTTAGCGAATGCGAACTTGGAGAGCTTCGAAAATAGCTTATTTTTGCCGTTTTCACGCGCTGCAAAACCCGTATAAAGTTTTAGCATGGCGAAACGGCTCCGAAAAGGTGAAAAACGGGAAGGCAAAATTCTGAAGGGGCACTGTCTATGAAGGTCTCTGACCAAAATCAAGCGCTCAATATAGGATAATCATCAATTATAATTAAGTGCTAAGGCTGTCTGTCTTTTTGTGAGTGTTTGTGTGTGGGGCTGTCTCTCACGAGATTCAGGAAAGCAGCGGCAGACAAGTCCATGGGCCGAATATTTGCGTAACGTACCCTTCCAGCATACCGGCTATACTTACGAAAATTCGAAATTTTTTCGAACATTCAATACCAAATAATATTTGAAAACCAAAACTTTCGAATAATTGACTATCAAATGATAGCTGAATAACGAAAATTTCGGATACTCGACTTTATTATTCGAAAATCAAGAAATTCAAATTTACAAGTGTCGGATAATATTCGATAGTCCAAGTCTTCGAATATTCGACTATCGAATATTAATCGCCTTTCAAAGATCATTCGACCTTGGGAAATCATTCGACCTTCGAATATTATTCGATATATGAATATCAAGTAAATTGAATGTCAGTCAGATGACCATTTGATAGACCAAAACATCTGACGATAGGTTTTATCTGAATAGACACTCCTTTATATCACAACTTAAAAAAACGACTTAGTGGTGATATATGGAGAATTGGGGACAAAAGAACTCCTACTCTCTCTTTGTTTGTTGAGAAATTTCTAGAAATTTGAAAAAGATTGTCACTTTGTCACGGCGTCTCCGAGTAGTGAATTCAAGCAACGGCGACATAGAAAGACCGGTCGTCTTGCATATTGTTCAGGTCACTGTACGGGACCATCCAAACATATATATTCTCCATTAAGGCTCCCGCCAGAGTGCCGAAGTTATGCCAGCGCTACGCCAGCATTTCGATCGATACACGTGTATTTCGTTGGGGACGTCAGCTAGCCCCGCCCCAACAAAATACACTTGTATCGATCGAAATGCTGGCTTAACTCCGGCACTCTGGCGAGAGCCTAAGAGTTATGGGGATATACAAGTTGTCCCAAAAATGTGCAGACACTGAGAAATCATTAATTCTCCTCCCACAAAGTCTTTCGTTGAGCTCAAAGGCAGAGTACAGGCTAAATCTAGCACCCTCCGACTAGGTCGGTCCTGAATGTAGGCCACAAGAGAGGAGCATCTGCGTTGGTTCGGTTCTCTAATGTTGTCTCCGAATGAAGATAATGGACCTGGAACAGCGAACTGGTATCAAGTAACGCTCAAATATTACCATCGCACAGCCAGTGGGCTGCCTGCCAGCGGTATGGTAGTGAGCGAAATCCCTTCACTACACACTGCAGTGCAACTGCATCCATGCAGTTGCAGCTCCTTCCGCTAGCATGCCGACAGGGGTGAGCAATCCGAAACTCCTCCGCTCCTTGAAGAGAGGGTTCTTAGGAATCTAGTTTTTTGGAGGTTCTGAACAGTTTGAACTTCATAACTGTAATCATGGCTGCGGAAAAGCCCCAGAATGACAAAAACATGAGGCGGAATTTTGGGTGGACGCTGTTTTCAAGTTGCCATGTAGGCTGGCTTCAACCTATTGTTAGGTTTACATAATAAAGTGCTCATCATGGGATTACCGTAATGAAATGAAGAGGGTTTTGAGACATGAGCCATATCTCGCTAAGCAAGGTAACCAGATAAAGCCAAAACTCTTACAGGCTTTTCTTACTGGTTTTGCGTATAGAATTTGCGTCTAATGCTTTTTTTGTAAGTTGCTAAGTACACCACAACAAATATTTTCTGCGTTTTTCGAAAAACGTGTTTACACATTAGAAAGCTACGAAAGCTGTGAGGCGAATTCAGCATACCTGAGAAATCTGCTATTATGCTACAAATTTTCAGAAACTTTTGGATAAGTTCTTTGAAACACTCGCCAACACGGATGCGTGAATTTATACAAATAACATGCGGTATGGTATATCGCAGTGCCTCCAAATGCTGGAAGTTCCAAACCGTAATCCCAAAATAGTAAAAGCTATAACTGTCGCTTTACTCTGTAAAAGTAAGCTGAAGCCAGCCCTAAGAATGGAATGGTGCCCAAAGGTTAGCAAAAGACTGTGAAGAACGATATTAGCCGAATAATTTGAAGTGCGAATGTTCGAAAATCTGAGATTTCGAACAAAATTCGACAGTCGAGTCTTCGAAAATTTTCATTTTCGAATATCTTTCGAGAGTCGAATATTCAATCTCAAATTTCGAATGATATTCGATAGTCGAAAACTCGATGGACATCAATTCGATCGTTCGACGTCCATCGAAAATTCGAATATCTGATGAATTTGGTCGTTAGTATTTTTCTTCACACATGGCCTTTTACTAACGTTTGAGTGCCAGTAGGGTTGCATCCAGCTTACATTCACGGGAAATGGTAAATCCCATAGTTCTTTATTATTGTGGATTACTGTAGGAACTTCTAGCATATAGAGCCACTGCGAAATATGCTGATCAAAAAAAAACTTCTCAAAATCTGAAAGTTTGTTTAACAGAGTTTGTACGTTGCTGACTTCAATATACAACCTTTCAAATGTTTTCAAGCTTTTTTGATGTGTGATCACGTTTTTGAGAGCATTGAAAACCCTTTGTTGCGGTGTACCTGATATAACTTACGAAAAAATCACGGATGAGTGTAAGAAGGACCCGAAATCGAAGTAGGCTTTCCACATGAAACAAGTACATACCAGTCTGAACAGCATTGAAAAACTGAACGCTGAAAGCGTCGTTACATGCCAAGCGCCTCTTGACGCCGAGTTGTATGTGTTTATAAACTCTAAATTTTGAAGGCGAAACTGGAACAAAATCTTCCAAGATTGCTCAACTAACCCAATTTCGGTTACTCACTTTATGCACGGAGTGCCTTTTTCTGATACACTCATACTCAACACTGCTCTATTTGAGCGCTGAAAAGAGAATAACGGAAGGAGAAGACACTCTGTATATCAAAACACAACTCAGTGTGGCCCACTAGTCAAGGAAGTCGCAAATGAAAATCTTCAAACTCCTAAAAATTTCTTCGCTACCGTTAAGGAGTAAACTTTCAGATTCTCAGACCTCTTGGGCTGTAGTAATTCCCCCTTGGAAGTGACGTACAAGATCGCGACTTAGTTGAAGCTCAGTCGCACTCCGCCGGCGTTGATCAATTTTCCAGCTATCTCTCAACACACTCGTTTAGTCACGACAACGCAGGTCGTGATCCTAGCGCAAGCGAAAGCTCGCGCTCCGAAGCGTGAACACTAGCGGCTATGCACTTTACTCCCACATTCTGAAGAAATAGTGCGCGCTGGTGGGAGACGCAGAAAATAGCGCGAGAGTAGAGCTCGACTGTGGGCAGAGTTGGCCGAGAGTTTAGTGCTCTTGTCTCTGGCGAAGAAGGTCACGGGTTCGGTTCCGCGCAGAGGCTAATCTCTTTGGC